AACCAAGCCCAGCCCAGGCATTTCACCTGAAGGTGGGTCTTGCCACAGTAGGTGGAGTTCGCCTCGTCTTGCTAGGTCGTTACAGGTGCGCCCTCCTGCGGTGACAAGTCTCTTATCGCTTCCTTGAGGACTTTGCGTCCATTCGTAACTTAGTGAAAATACTTCCCTTTTTCACTAACCAATTTATCGACCTACCTACCTTAGAAGGTAGCGAGACGGTGGCGGGCAAGTGAAGCACTTGATGACGTTGTTGGACGTCATTGGTGGACTATACCCCTCATCGCGCTGGCGATGTGGTTGTTACCTCGTCCCGACGCCGATGCATCAGTGACGTCCATTGACCTCCTTAAAAGCCCTCCGCTATCCGGTCATCGTCTATATTGCCTTCAAAGGACCGTGCAGGCTCTTCGAGACAACATTATTCTGGTCTTATTGCAGCAGAACACACCTTTCATGTCTCCACGCTGAAGTAATATTTGCTTCTGGAGTGCAAGAATACCATTGGAACACTTGTTTCAGCATCAGTTCCCCCACCATGATTTCCGGCGTTTCGTCATGCCATGATCGCCGACAACTACCAAGAGAAGAGGAGATTGTGCCTGAACGCAATTTCTGTTTCAAAAAGCGTCTCCATTTTGCACCTACTTCAGGAACTTTCGGAGTGCCTCGGCGATGCACGCGTCACACCTTACAGTCCATACCTCGCCGTCTACAGTCCATATCTCGGCGACTGGGTAGGCGTGTCACCAGACATGACGTGGCGGTCGCCGCACTTCATAGAAATCGCGTGGATGAGCCATTTCCAGTGTACTTTGCTAATTTACATCCATGTAGTTAGGAAACAGCTTATCCGAATGGCTCTCATCGAATGCGGCGGCCGCCACGTCATTTCCGTGACCCTCACGATCAGACGGCTAGGTATGGGCTGTAAGAAGACGTATCTGCTGGCATGGCGTGGTTGCCGCCGCGCTTGATGGAAAGTGCGTGTATCAGCTGTTGTTAACACACCTTCTCAGAAAGCAGCAAAGCATGCTGAAAGCAGCTTATCCGCAAGACTTCTATCAGGTGCGGCGGCTAATACAAAAATAGGGGAATTAACAGTACTTCTGGAGATATTCCGCTGCTTCGAGCCTACGTGAACAGTTTCACTGTATCTCACTCCAAATTGGTATTGTCATAATGAACTTATTAACGCGTAATTGCGGCGTCCTGTATAGAATGTTGTCTCAAGGCACACGCCACCGAAACAAATAACGAACACTTGTCGAACGATTTCATCCATCTCTTCGAGCTTCTTTTTGATCTCTGGCGACTGACTGCCAAGAGAATGCTCCTAAATCTGGTTAACCATGTAAGAGCGGAAATGGACAAGACCACTGAACCTAAGAAACTTGAAGTACTGCCTAATAAAAGCATACACAGACCTACGTGATCTAATCCAAGATAATGAAGTATTAACACATCCCAGTTGCGGCTCTTCAGGACAGAATCAAAATGACGAGTGACGTTGTTATCAACCTAAAATGACAACACATTAGCCACCGCCATTATGCGCGTATTGCTGCATCTTTTTATATTTTTTCATTATCAGTCTGTCTCCTTCTCTGAATTCATTATTATTAATTCATTATTAATGGTTACGAATGCGTTGTTCCGAAATAGTATGGAGCATCCATAAACATGAAGGAAACCAGATAAGTTAAGAAAACGACTATCGGTGACGTGCAACCCCACCACGCTGTCGCCCATGTGTTGACTTCATATATGGACAGCTCTTGGAATTTTGTTTGAATAGTAATTACAAGAAAAATGGCCCGTTGAAAAATGGAAAAAAACGGCAAGAACAAAAACAAACAGACACATATAAACGTTGCAACCCAGGAATGCAGCTATAGCACCTCAGTAAAATCCTTAATGAAGAATGACTTCACTCCCTCCGATTCAACAAAGGCGTTTGGAAATAGTGTAAGCCACGTGTCGTCGCCAAAGAATGCTATCCTGAATCACACGAGGAATTTCTGCCAAGGATTATTCTGAAAATTCAGAATAAATTGTTGTAACATCCGAAATCTTTGCTGCAATGCATAATTCTTCAAGTGTACTGCGCAGAGATATTCCCTATTACGTCTCAAGATAGTGACGTTCATCGCCACGCTATATTCATGGCACTGACGTTTTGACAGAAGATTGAAAATTCTCGCTTTCTTGAACCCGTATAGTTGCTCCCTGATCTTTATGCTGGGGTGTGATATCTCTCAAAAGATTGCCTCTTCGTAGGCTAGATCTACGCGGTCGATAATCCTGCAGGCAGGCGGGATTTTTGCGGATGACATTCAAAGTTTAATTTCATACCAAGGAGTACTTCCTTGAATTCGCTCCGAAGGCGCAAGACACAGGGAAGGCATAAATTACGGCAACAAGATAAATCTTCAATAAATAAGAGATGTGGCTCGAGCTCATATTCGTTATAACGGGACGTTGTGTTGGCGTCTGTTTCAAAGTCGGACTTAAATCGTATCTTTCCAGACACAATCGTTTCGAATCGCGATGCCAGATTGTCGCACGAATGATATTTGTGGTAGAGTGCGTGTTTGGGAGAACACCTCATAGCTAACATAGATGTTATACATCGTGTGTTTCGACATTTCTTCTACAGGTCGAAAAATGTGTGGCGGACTTTTGGAGCTGAGAAAGAGAAAAACCAAAAAAAAAACTGTGGAACCAGCTTGATAAAACCATCGATTCTTATTCATTCTTCCAGCCCCCGCGTGGGGCCCGCTTTCGCATAATCTTCGTTATGGAAGAGTGTGTTGGTGCGCTTTGGGAAGTCGTCAGTAGTGGAGAAGATTATCAGTTTTGACCATAACTCAGTAATAGTGTGTGAAACATCACGATGACATTCTTTGGATTTGCAGGTGAAGCTGCTGGGAGAAAATTGACTTTCTATTTAATTCGCATTATCATTTCTTTCTATAGTAGCCGGTTTGAAAAAATTTCACAAAATTTTTGCACGTTATGCATCACCCTGCTTCCATGCTTTGCTCTCCTCTCAGCCGAACGTTCTGTGATAGCGTTTGCTAACAAATAATAGGTGAGCTGCTTAGACGGGTGTGGCACAAGAAGAGCCACAAATAAATCTTCAAGAGAGTAAGTCGCTCACCTCTTCCCGGCAGATGAAGCAGAGGTTACCCAGCTGTCTTCTGTGCTTTCCGATGGGAAGTAGTTTTCGAGTAGCGATACCAGGGACGGTATCACTCCACTTGTCAGCGCCTTGAAAGCAGAAAAAAATCTTGCTTAGCTTAACGATGTGCGAGAAGCGGGTGATGAGGTTCGATCCATCGTATTTCGAAGAAGACGCTCACAACCAGAGCGTAGTCTGTCAAAAGTGGTTGGGAGCCGTTGTGATGAAAATTTTGTTTTGGCAAAGAGAATGTCAAATGAAAAGATGAGAGTGAGAATTCTAACCCAATAGAAAAAATAAGATGTTCAACGAGGACGATTACTGCGAATGATAAAGTAACACAAAAAGAAAGAGTGCACAGTACATGGTCCAATATTCAAACAGGTAGGGTCAGAAAGATAAGAGTAAAGTGAACGCAAGAAATCTGTATCATTGACGATGAGTATGTGTGAAAGCACGTAAGTACAAAATATTGGGTTCTGCTAATTATTGGCGTGGCTTTGTTTTCAAGTGTGTGTCCCGAAGAAAAAGGCAAAGGGTATTTAACAAAATTTTGTTCAAATGATTATTCCAGAGCGTAGACACAATCCTTCAAGAACGCTTCCCATTTGCTTGGCAGTAGGTCGATTCCACGGGTGGAGAAGTCACGATTCTTGGAGACGATCCACGCTCTAACCTCGGGCCACCAAGTCACCCAGCTCGTCGTAAATTTTGTTCGTTTGCCAGTTTTTCAACGACTGATTGAAGTGGTAGTCTGTAGGAGCTTCGGTCGGTAAATATGGCGTTTTGAACCTCTTGAACCATCTTTCAACTTGGCTTTTGCTAATTGTTCCCTCGCCGAAAAGTTCGTTGAGATCGCGAAATGACTCTGCCGCCTTCCAACCTTTCTCGAAGTGGTAGAGCATATATGGCGAATATGAAGATGATTTTCGATAAGCTTTTTAATGAAAGAGAGAAGAATATTTTCATGAAAAATAATAAACAAAACGCCAGTCTTTTCGAAAAAAGAAGGCGCGAAAAATCCGCAATAATTATGCATCAACCCAATAGATTATGCGAAATACTCAACCTTTATGCGAGGCATAGTGACTGTAGGCGACTGAGTATTCGCTGTAAACGCAACTGCTCGTCCTGACGTGATGGAATGGCGGAGAAAAGTCATCGGAGAATCGATGTCAGCGAGAAACGATATTCGCCAAGCGTCAATGACCACGAGGACTATCCGGAGATCGTTGTCGACGAAGGTGGTCTTGGACATCATCGTTCGAAACATTCTGAAGAAGATGATCACATTTTCGGTTTAATTAGAACGTCCAATTGGAGCACGCCAAATGTGTATAGAATTTGCAGATCCCTTTCAGAAGAATCGATCGATACAACTCGGATTAACAAAACTGTTTCTGTTTCCAAAGCTAGTATTCCACTTTTTTAAAGAAATTATGAGCATTAAAGAAATTGTAGTAGAGTAGTAGAGGAAGCAAAGTTAGGACGAAACCAAATAATTGTACAAAGTACTGAAACATTCTCCGAATGAGTCATGCCAGTTCCAGGCTCACTGCTTCTGACACATACAGTGAATTGCCGTCACCAGTGAGCAGATTTTATCGGGAACTTTTTGAAAAAGCCCTAATTCTCCGATCTAGATGGAAGGCGTCTTGCAGAGTAACCCGCTATAATCAAAGAAGAATCACGTTGTCCCTCCACGCCTCACCATGGGCTAAGTAGCATATTGTGGACTCACTAAAAGGGGAACAAAGTTCATTTTTGGTGAGTCCGAGTCTTGCTTGCTAGTGAAAGATGGTATTAAGTACGTCAATCGTCCAATCGTCAGTGGGAAAGTGTTCAGCTCAAGGTATCGACTGCTAAGTAGGAAGTATGGAACACGCAACGTCATGCTTTAGAATTGCCCCTGCAGCCATGGAGTCGGACCATCTTGACCACAAAAATCATGACCATTTTTTTTTTTTTTACATAGATTTCCACAGAACGGAACCTAGCAAACACGTGGACGAATTCATACGGATTCAACTTTTGTCGTATGCGATTTCTTGATCGAATCCAGAAAAGCGGAGCTAGCGGCTCTAGAAACATTGAACAGTTCGGATAATTTCGATGTTCGTTCAATTCATCTTGGATTCCTCCGACATGTCAGTGCCATCGTCGATGTGCGACGAGAGGTAAATATGTATGTGTCCGCACGGTAAAATCGTGTGATACTATTGAACATTTCCATGACTTTTCTGTTTCTTGAAAAGTCTAAGACCGCTTGAGCCCTCGAGACGCCTTCTGCAGATGAAGTGGACGATTGTCAATGCCATCCTCGATCACAACGCACGACGCTTCAAGTGAGTTTGACTCGCCTGCATTGCGTTGGAGGATTAAGGTCGTCGGCCTGCGGATCCATTCGAGCTATCAGGAAACCGCTACGCGAGAGACCGTGCGATAGTTTACCACGGGACTCATTCTGAGCGCCTCTTGCGGTGCAGGTAAGGTTCGCGCAGGTAATCCCTTGGAAAGGTTTGCGGGAGAAGTTGATTTTTGTGCGATGTGAACGCCATCATTGAAAAAGCTGACTCGACCATCGCACGTACCACATTCTTTCCAACCTAAAAGTTCAGCACGGCTCAGTCTTGTCGAGAATTGCGTAGCTAAATATGATGCGATTAGCTCCCTCGCATCATCCTCTTTAGTCGTGTTTCTTTTTGAAAAAAATTATAAATAGTTGAGTCAGCAGGAACGACTCTGTACAATGGGTGCTCGTCATCGATACCGCATGCAGGCCGAGATGAAGAATAGAAAGTTACTGCGTCATTCAAAAAGCGAAATTCTACTCACCCACTAAGTGGTGATTTGGTGTCGTCACTGAATGAGATCTAGCTTTGGCTTTCAGCGAAAATCCATGATAAGTGTAGAACACCGCAAGCAGCAAGGTGAGATATCCAACCTGAATAGTTATCAATGCCGTTTCAAAACATTGAAGCCCTGGTGAAAAGGCCAAGAAATATTATTTGCTGAAGCGAAGCATTTCGATTATAACGCAAACGACTTTTATATTATTGTTTAGATTCAAATCGCGGCCTATGACGAATGCTTGAATTTTGCATTAATAAACATCAAAGCTTGTACATTCCTACTAGACACACCAACTAGGATTAAGCCCAGAGGGCGCATGATCCTTCAAGTGGCGTAAGGATAGAGTTGCTCACAATGTCGCTGCTTCTGCTTCTAAAGAGCTGGGGTATTGCGAAGACCGTTTCAACCGCTTTTTCTAGTTAAGGTATGCCGTGCCTGGCGCTATCTCATACGTTGTGTTCTCTCCTATTCTCTCCTCCGTGCTCAGTCCCTCCTTGCCTAAGCGCAGCCGAATCGAGGAATTGATGAAGCGTAAAATTTGGAGAAACGGATAAACGGATGCTCCTCCTTTTTTACTGCGGGCCCACTTCGCACCGTTGCTTTAATTTTTATGTGCTCGTGAGATCTAAATTCCTATCATTCGCTGCCGACATCGGCTAACCGGCTCACCTTAAACTAGCGATAGAGGGATCGACTTACAAGAAATTCAAATAATATTAGGCTTCTCGTTCTGATGTCACCGCTCAACATGACAGATGTTGTGCGACTGAGTGCGTCTTGTGACGCACTATGGAAGGACTGCTGAAAAGAGGCTTTTGTGCTTGTTGAAAATGCTACTACGGTTCATTTGATATAGAAATGCTTCTTTTGAGCGGCGATTGTGGAAGAATGCGTAGGAGCCAGAGTTTGCTGGAATGTTGTAAAATGCAAAAAATTCAGGGTTGAAGGGCAATACAATGGAAATGGACACGAAAGAGTGAATTGTAGTCAAAAGCAAATTCTGTAAGATCATTGGATGGTCAAACATCAGAATAAGCCTGAGAACATTCATTCTTTATTCAAGGACTTGTGGGCATGTGACTTTTTCTACTTCAATTTAATTACTGACCACCGCTTGATGCGCGATGGCGGGTTGAAATGGGGTAGAGGTATGAGCAGCGGTCCATCAATGAACGACGTTCCCACTCTTTATAAAATTTGTGCACTGTTTTGTTCCTCACTGACCGTAAAGAGCAAAGATATTGCTAAAAATATGGGCTGACTAATACAACAATACAAATAATTACAAATAATAATACAATACACAAACGGGATTCCAGCGACACTGAGCAGGGCTACTCGGTACTGAACGACCAAGATTTCGAAATCAATTCCCAAACGGCCTCGGAATTGGGAAAAAGTGGGTGCATTGGCAAGCCAGAACGACTCAGGGAGACCCACCTTGGGTGTGCGCACGTCCTCTAAAAAAGCGGTGCTTACGGAAAAATTAAGAATTCGGTCAAGAGAAAGCCAACAG